TGTGCACATTTGTAAGGATTATACACAGAGAACCAAAGCAATTTTTAAATTCATAAATTTTGCACAAAATATTTGTTGGGTATTTGCTTAAATTACTGGTTTCTTTTTTCTTCATAATTATGAACGATGTGATTGATCTTCTTCATACTACTTTGAAAAATTGGTTTCTCATCCTACAACAATCCCTCATTATCTATTCTTGTAGATAAAGACATTAGTAACTGAGACACCGACTTGATAACATTTTTTCATTACTTTTTCACTCTTTAGTAAGTTTTTTCTTCAAGTGCCTAAAACCCTTAAAATCAGTATCTTCAAAATTAAGAGTGCCTAAGTTGGTAATCAAAAGCACCGGTTTCGAGCAAATTGGCCCTCATCAACTTTAGTCTACTTATATCAGAAACTTTCGACGGCTCTGATGTTGTTGAAAACCACAATTTAGATTTTCACTTCTATTCAAATTACTGCATGTTTTGGTGAGGGGCTTTCATGCCATATTAGCTATCGTGCAGAAACACGTCTATTACTCCCAAGCTCGGCTGCATGATCATAAATAACAGTGTCAAGATAGTTAATCTGATTTTTTGCATACTATTTATAGTTCATTCGATAATTAATACACATCACGCCTAGAAGGCGCATCTGATCCTTAAGAGAACGATCATTCTTCATAATTATGGATGGTGTGATATAAAGTTTAATCATAATAGTTTGTGTGCTGAAATATTAGGAAATTGTGTTGTCGCCGATATAATCATAATGGTAAAATGAAATTTCGCAGTGAAATCAATTTGGTAACATTTGGGAACAATACGAAATAAATTCCCAAATAGAAAACAATGCCGGCAATAAATCCCCAGCCTGGTTCTCCAATAAGGAAAATTTTCGTAGCGTTACGTCGTATCTCGTTAAGAGCACCTCGCTCGACTTAGCTTTGTTAAATCTATTTTCGTATTTTAGCCGAACAATTTTTCTCCATTTATCGGCGCACAATAATACGACGCCAGATGCTACTCACCGAAATCTAACTTTCTGTTTCCCGTTCCGTTTCTATTAGAGATGCTTCACTGTTGCTTTTCATTTTGCTGCTCTCGTTAAGATAAAGTGTCCTTTCGATTCAACCGAAAATTCTCAAAGTTCTATGATTTTTCTGGTGCCTCCGCTTCGAGAAAGAAATATAGTATCTGGTTGCATGTTGAAGTGACTGTTAATGACGAGAACCTTGTACATTTGACTGAACACTATGCTTTGTATAAATGCAAACATCGGCATTCTGATTGTCCTTTGAAGCTTACTGGTTATCGGGTTTTTACAGAACTTTCGCGAAGTAGGAAAGTTTTTAAGTGCAGAACGTTCGGCAGAATGCCCAATTTGGTAACCGTCCTCAGACCATCAAAGAGGCCAAGCAGAAAACATATTTAACATAAATTCTTGGATAAGAGTTCATGGAATTAATTAACTAGAGCAGGTGCTTGATTTCCTCAAGTGTTTGAGAATACATTTTTTTGAATATTTGACCCAACCAAGGTTTCTTTTGTGAACTCAAATATTACTGAACAGCCCATTGAAAAGGAAAGTCCAGCCAGATCTTCTGATTGAAATTCTTGTGATTTTTGGGTCTGGAGCTGCTTCAAATATTGGTCGATTTGCAGCTATTAAAAGCACGAAATTCGCCACACATGTAACAGGTTCACCAGCATTAAGGAACATTTCTGAAGCATTGGAGTTGCGAGTTAAAGCCAATCCGAGTTAAAGCAATATGAAGAATGAGAAAATTTCCATTTGTCACGCAACATTTTTTTCCAGATAAGGCAATTTAGATCAGATCGACTTGAAAAACTTGCCCTTGTTTATCGGTCGAGTTTCAGGACACCCTGTATTTTGGTCAGTGTTCAGCAAATTTCATAACGACTGTTTTAGTTTAGTGAGTGGGAGTTAATGGTCTAATGAAGTCTTTTTAACTCCTATTTTCCTTATTTCGGAAGTAGGAGTTTAGTGGCAAAAAGCACTGATGAGGGTTTAAAGACGTCAATCGCACACTGTTACAGCTTACATTTTAATCTCCAGTTAAAGCTTGTGGGGTTTCTTAAAATGTCCCATTTTGCCCAAAGTTTCCAGAATTTTGCATTTGAAATTCCCACATTGATTTAGATATAAATCCGAATGAAAAACTTGTACGTTGGACAAAAGCCATTTTTCCTATTAATTACAATGTAGGGATGGAACATCGATCCTGTAACATCATGTTGACATCGAAAGGTAATATCGATGTTAGGGAATCATCAAAGGCAAAACATCGATGTTTGACAACATCGAAGTCTTTCACTTCGATTTACATCAAATGTCCGATGTTTTCATTTCAGGATCTAACATCGATGTTTATGATCGATGTCACAAATTTCCAACATCGATGGTAAAAATATCGAACATCGAACGAATTACATCGATGTTTTTCTCCCATCTCTATTGCAAAGTATCCGTCGTAAAGCAAAACTCTTTGTGCAGTGATAGTTGATTTGATTGCAGCCAGTCATGATAAAGTTAGATGGACATATTTTCAGGCCAAAGCAGCTTCACGCGTCGTTTGAATACGGAATAACTAATAGTATTATTAAAGCTATCGACGTGCATTATTTTTAAGTGAGGGATGGATGTTTGCTTGAAACAAAATTATATGAAAACCAGGAGATTTTTGTTTTTAACAGCGAAAAAAATATTTTATTTGAGATTTCCAGCCATGGCAGCATCAATTGTTTTGTCCGCCACAATTTGCAAAGATGACGACAAACTCTCCACGTGGTAAACTAGAAAACTGAGTACAAATTTGATACCGCCAAACAACCGATATTACGCTACTACTCAACAGCGCGGTTGGCGCTGCATTAAAGGCAGCCAACTTTTCCCTTAAATTCACTTAAATCCGGATTTGCGCAAAGAGCACGAATTAAATAATAATTCATTGGTTGTCATTCTATTGGGTGCATTTACTTGCAGGATTCGTACTTCGCATGGCGTTTTATGCATTTATTACCAGACGAATTCCAAGTATTGTGTTGGCTTTTTATGAATAAAAAAAATAATTTATGCGCCCTTACAAATAAATTAGTTAATAACAAGAAAAGCGGTAAAAAACAGCAGTGAATACATCAAATATTTTTATTTTTAAAATTTCAAATTATTGGAATACCAAGTATTAAGTAATTCAGTCTTCAACATTAAATAAAATATATTAGGTTTCCAAGAGGGTCATTTTCAGATCATTCTTGCGATCAAAAGTGAATTTAATTACAAAATAGAAATGAAAATGTGCCGGTAGATTGAAAAATTAACCAAATGTTTCTTTCTTATTTGCTGATTATAGTAAAAGTAAGTGTAAAACGGATTTTTTTTCCTGGGCTGAAATTAGAAATTCTGTTTTTTCATAAATCATATTCAGCTTTATACTAAACTTCTACAGTCTATTTGTGGGCATTCATTGAATTGTTTGTGAATAAAATCTATTGTAAGCGAGCAATCAAAGATATTCCTTATATTTAAAACCATCATAGATAAACAGTACTCCTAATTTTTTATGTTAATTTTCAGCCGACGTAAACAAAATTTTTCGTGATGATATTAAATGTAATTTTAAGCAACCTAGTGGTTCTCCAATTTTCAATTTTATCTGACTTTATTAACAAAATATTTATATAAAATGTCAAGCCGCCTAAATTTCACATAGCTTCACCCTAAAGTTGTCATTCGACCAAACCGCTCATTTTCACATTATTTCGGTTTTAAATAATTCCATTGGTAACCGCGTTAATACAGTCAGAATTCTTTAAATTTCCATTAATTTCAACAATTTAACCACCCAGTTGAAACGGGAAATTTGAAAACTGGTAAATCATATGAATTGAATAATCATCAATTACCGCTCTCAGTTAAAATTTTCCCTAAATCATCCGAGAGATCGATCAATTTTAATTGAATTAAAATGACGCAAACATTACGCCTAGGCATCGGAGATCTTCATTAATTACTTTTTTGCTAGTTTCACTGAGGTTGCACAATTTTAATGGGTGAAATCGACTTTTTATTAAGAACTTTTTCAAAGATTTCCACATCGGAAACTATCACGACAATGAAAGACATTTTCCCGTTAGTCAACGAAAATTATTTTCGAAGGCACAAACATCCAACAAATTTCAACCGCATATTAACACCTTTATTACAAATTAGAGACTGTTCGAATAAACCGCGAAGTTTTCTCCTCACTCCAATAGCCCCTTTCTTAAACTTGCAAATCCTGATTCAGCAAAATTAAATCAGTGAAACTGCCAAGAGGCTCTTTGCAAGAACTTAGCGGTCAATTAAATTCAAAAAGTTCCTCCGGGAGTTCGTCATGGAGAAGAGCACGTTGACCAATTGAATTTCAAGCAGTCCCGACCGATCCAGGAAAACTATTCAGAAGGACACACTGGGATTTTCCGGAGGACATTTTAATTACGACGGTTTTAGTCCCTTGGGTGTTAGTTGATTATAATATGTGTTGTTAATATGAAATAGGATATAATGTGTCGTATAAATGATAATCTGTTGATTTGGGTGCGCTTTGTTCAAAGTGTTTAAGTTTTTACATAATATTAGAATAACTTGTCGCGTTTGCAGGGCTTTTTAACCACGGTTTGGGCAATATTAGTAGCCAGAATATTGGGTGATTAGTCAAATATCTGCAGGACTAAAGGGCAAAGAGCATTTGTTTGCTTCCCGTCCGGAATTTTACAAATTCCATGAGTGTGTCACTGTTTCATAATTCAAAACTTTTTTAAATGCTTTGATAAATTGACGGCAAATGTGCCTTGACCTGCTTTGTGAAATATTCAATTATTGTTTGCTGCGGAGTTTCACAAATCGCTCGTTTATTGACGGTTTTCATCTGCCACAATTATAGGATTTTTTCTAGTTATATACATATTACTATGATGTTGATTTGAGTAATGAATATTCTGTTGTTTCAGATTTGCTTGCATTCGAGTTGCTAAACAGGTGAGTTATAAGTAGTGTAAATAGTAAGCGGGCAAACCCAATGGGGCCATTGAACTTTTTCCTTAGTGCGATTTATTCTGGGTTCTATCCATTGATTTGTCGACTCCTAAATGCGGGATTCAACGAGCAGTTTTTTGAAAAACTTAATTCTAACGATACCAGGTTTATCCGTATGATTGTTAGTCAAAATGTCGA